TGGGCTAAAGCCCCGAATGTTTTATGAAAAGACCATAGAAGTCATTTTAACCGGGGACGCCGGGGACATGTCCCCGGCAAAATTTGTGATTGGCAGCTGTGTCGCCCCCACTTTAAAAAATGCCTGCTGATGAGGATTTTTGTTTTACCAGCTCAGATCTTATCCAGGGGTCGGCAACCTGTTCCCATCAAAGAGCCATTATTACCCGTTTCCCACAGTAAAGAAAACACTGGGAGCCACAGCGTTGTGGGCGGGGCCTACCCTCACAGCAGAGCGCTGCTCACAACCAGGTGACAGCAGCCGGTACCGGTCGCTCGCATGGGCGTCGCACCCGTGGGGGATTCAACACCCACACTTTTCATTCTGTTTTGCTCACCTCCACACCAGTCTGGTTTCTTTATGTCACACTCACTCTGTTTGCCTCATCTCCTTCTTCCCCTCTCGCTTCTGACAGCCGATGTCGGGTTTCCAGGAGAGCAGGAGAGGGAGGGACGGAAGAGCTCGACTGAATTCATAATTTTACATCTTGACATTAGCTGTACAAAGTCTGAGTTTGATAAAGTGAAGAACAACAATTTGCAGAGGTTTATAACAGGCGCGGCGCCAGGTTTTCATTTTTGGGTGGGCCACGGTAATTCTGGACGGACCTTAATAAGCAGTGACTTAGTGAAGCAGGCAGGTCGCGCTGGAAAATTTAGTTTAAAAAGATGTCATAAATGTGTTCCCCGTCATTTTTATTTATAAAATATGAAGTAAAAACTCCCAATTTAATTTTCATTCATTTGTCATTAATATGTAGTATACACCCGTGCGTTAAGTGGACCATCTTCCAGTAAAAGCAAAGCTTCCAGCCCATCTCTCCAAATGCGTAAAATGTGCATCAGCCGCTAGTTAGGCGCGTCGCGCGCACCATTAGCTATGTCATCCCAGACAAGAGCAGAGCAAATAGAGAAAGAATAGAGGATAATTGTGTCTGGATGTGGATGGAGATTACATTTTACATCAGCCTGATCATCATTTAAATACGTAAACCATCACCTGTCTTCTAGTCCACGCTATCAGCATTATTTTAATTGGTGTGTGTGTGTGTGTGTGTGTGTGTGTGTGTGTGTTTTCCACTTCAAACACTGGTCTAACCAACCAGACCAGCGTGTCCAGTAACATATTAATGTTACAATTAAACAGTTTCACCTCATGTAGACTAGGAACGTTTCACCTGCCGTGGCCCGACCGCTTCTGCTCCACATAAACTTTGTGCGTAATCAAATGTCTCTACAGGAGCTTTCTGAGCTGAAGAGGCGATTCTGCCTCAGACTGGATGCGTCATGCGTCTCCATATTAGAGACGGGAACAAGCGCTGTTCAGCCAAAGTTTCATAATTTCATAAAAAGAAATTTTTCCAAGTGACACGTCCCTCAGAGAGACCGGGTTTCCAGACCGCTTCAGTGGGAGGAAATCATTGCATGCACCGTGGTTCTGCACTGCGCTGCGAACCCCTCTACAGATCTTCAGCCCACTGCCCACCGTGGGCGCTCCGAGCCGCGCTGAGCACAGTGTCCAGTATAAAGCTCTGATGTTCTGATGGGAATCAAGTTACCTCCGCGATGTGCGTTAACGATTAAAATGTCAGCTCATCCATGCGCATCAGTGTGCGTCGGGGTAATTCTTTCAAAACAACCAACATCCTTGAGTTTATCCGTCAATATGTGGCAAGGTGGAGAAACGAGGACCCGGGAGGTATTCGATCCCCAGACTCCCGGGTGAGAGTCATACGCTCTAACCAGTCAGCCAAAGGGACATCCCCTTGGCCAAGTAGCCAGGGCGCATGATCAATCGGGACACTGTGACAGGACACTCACACTGCCACACCTGATTATGAAACTTTGGCTGAATAGCGCTTGTTCCTGTCTCCAATGTGGCGACACATCCAGGAACCTGTCTGAGGAGAAGCCCAGAATCTGACATCCTCCAGCTCAGGAAGCGCCTATGATTACGCACAAGCGTGACGCGTCAACCCGGTCTCACAGTAAGACCGGGTTGGACCTGTTCAGGTTTACGCAGACAATCTTTACATTTAGAATTGGCATACAGATGTAAAATTAATGCAGTAAAATATAAAGCATTTCATTTAAATATCCATTCATTATTTTACAAGCACAGAGAGCCGCATCAGATGGATGGAAGAGCCGCATGCAGCTCCAGAGCCGCCGACCCCTGTGCCATCCTACTTTATTGTCCCCAGCAATTTTTAAACCCAACTCAAGTGTATGGTTATTGTCCCCAGCAATTCTGAAAACAAACTGACGCCCTTGGAAAAGACTAGTGCGTGTCACGTGAGTGTGTGTGTGCGCGTGCACGTGTTAATCCCCGGATCTTCTTCAGTCCTAAATCCGCCTCGAGTCTAACTACAAATACTCTCAGCAAACTCACTTTCTGCTGCAGTGATGAACAAGAAGACTGACATCGTTCTCTCATCAGCTAAAAGAGCTTGAGTGGCGCAGGGTACGAATCAATCATTTAAATAATACAATAAAAAATCAACGGCTCTATTTCACCACAAACATTAAGGCTGAAAAAATGTATATGTATATATATATATATATATATATATATATATATATATATATATATATATATATATATATATATATACATGCTTATATCAGATTTTTTTAAATTCAATTTAATTTTAATTTAACGTGTGGATGTGATAATTCAATGAAATTATCATACAGATAGTAAAAACTTAAACCAAAACAGGAAATTGATGTTAACCTTTGACCTCATTTTCCACCTGTGAGCGAGTGAAAGGTCGAGCTAGTGGTAAAATGGATCGGGTTTTGTTGCCCACATTTCCACGGGTTCAGTCAGAAACGAATGAATCTTTGGAAGTGATCTCAGACCCACAAAAACCTACGGATCTGGATGAAGAGAGTCAACCCTCAACCGCCGCAGCAGTCCAGGGTTTTGCCGCTGGAAATGCTAACGCTAACTTTAGCTAACCTTGCAACACTATAGATGGCTTCCTGTGTGGCTGTATGTGTTTATGATTTCATGGAAAAGTCAGCGATTGTTCATATGTTTATGATGTGTATTAATGATTGTTTCAGGTGTTGTTGAGGTGTTGTGCATGCATGTGTATCTGCTGTTGAAGGTGTTTTAGAGAACAATAGGTACGCATGACCACTTCCTTCATAGCACCCTCAATAAAAAGACTAGCTCCTTCATAGCACCTGTAGAAAAACATGTCTGGAGCCGCCACTGCACCCAGCCCCTATCACCCCCAGAATATTCCACTTGCAACTTCAGACTGGTGGGCTGCTCTGTTGGGACTTAGAAAAAATTCAGCTGACATACCTGACTAACCCTTCGATCAGCCGTTTGCATAAGACACACCATGGCAGGAAATCGGTGTTACATCGCCATCATGGCGTGTCCTATGGAAGTGGCATGGCGATGTGGGAATATTGAGGCACTCGTTCCGCCAAGCTTGATAGAAACATTCCTGCAATGCCAGACTCGTGAATGAAGATCACCTACACACAAGAGGGCGATGTCATGATTGCGTGTGGATTGTCCACCAAGCCCCAGCTGGCAACAATATGTAAAATGCAAGTAAACACGGCGAGACGGCAAACTGGAACGATGCAGAGATCTGAGAACATCTGGTCGTTGGAGCTGAAGAACATCACCAGACAGTTCACGGGGAATGTGAAGGGCAGCCACCTTTTATAGCAACTTGTGAAAAATCTTGAGGGTGGCTTTAATCGGGATAAAAAACAAGTTACGTCTAAGCTAAAGGAAAGTCAATGACAGTGAGTCGACAGCGTGGAGATCGCCCCCATACCCCGTTAATCAGTGTTGCATTAACCCTTTGATGCATAATGGTCACTACAGTGGACAGGTACTCAAAATTGTTATTTATTTATTTATTTGTTTATTTATTTATTGCAATTAAGCACAGCATTTGAAGACTTTATTGCATTTGAGCCCCTCCTCCATTTGGACTTCAGTAAATCAAGCCAACATATTTCATGTTCAGAACGCACGCTGTCCACTGAGGTGGACATGTAATAAATTATTTGTAAATTATTAAATGTTACAAAAAATATTTGTTGAAAATTTTTCCATTCACTGCAGTGGCGCAGTGGTTAGAGCTGTTGCCTTGCAGTAAGAAGGTCCTGGGTTCGCTTCCTGGCCTGGGATCTTTCTGCATGGAGTTAGCATGTTCTCCCTGTACATGCGTGGGTTCTCTACGGGTGCTCCGGCTTCCTCCCACAGTCCAAAAACATGACTGTTAGGTTGATTGGTTTGTCTAAATTGTCCTTAGGTGTGAGTGTGTGTGCATGATTGTTTGTCCTGTGTGTCTCTGTGTTGCCCTGCGACGGACTGGCACTTTGTCCAGGGTGTACCCCGCCTGATTGCCTGTTGACTGCTGGAGATGGGCACCAGCCCCCCCGCGACCCTACGTGGACAAAGTGGGTTCAGACACTGGATGGATGTTTCATTCACATTTAAAGATGATTTAAAAATTTTTTTTTTATTATGGTTGAAGATTTCATAATTCATGCATCATAGGGTTAATGCCACAATGTGTAATCTTGGCTGACCACTTATGAACGACCAAAGGCTCCCTGATGGCGCCTGCGCTACAGTCAGGCTACCTCTTCAGCCTCTAGCTAGCTAAATAGTTGGTGCTTCAATATTGAGATGAAACTTAAATATTTAGATTGGATTCTAAAATCTTGGATGCATCCCACTTTTCTATATGAAGATTTTACTTTAAATATTTAAGCTTAAACATTAACTTGAAATATTTTCTTATATAAAAGTGAGAAAGTGACAAACATCCCATTTTCAGTGTTTGGAGGAGCTAATTGCAGCAAAATGTATGATGCTTTACTTTAAGACTGGCACCCACCGATGGCCGTTGTTTCTTCTTCACCAGGTTGAAAAACATGTTAGTTTGCTTCACTGAAGGAAAAAGAAAAGCACCTTACCCACGATCATGTGCTTGCAGTGCTGGCAGTTGGTGGGCTTTCTAAAGACGTGGTCCTGGAAACAGTGGTTAATCTGGATTTGGGCCGGTTTGGCAGGCAGCAATGGGGAGAGGCTGAATGATGGTGAGTGGGAGGCGATGGAGGGGTTTGGGCTGAGGGACGGCGAGATGGATGGCGAACGCTCACTGACGAGAGGGGATCCAGGTGGGATGGGGGGAGATGGAGGAGGTGGGTCAGTGATGAAGTCCGGGGGCAGTCGGGCGTCGCTGTAGGACCTCTGAAAAAAGTTCTCCATGCTTTTACTGCGCATCATCGTCTTGAAGGATAGCGAGCGTTTTAGTCTCTGGAGCTGCACACACGGACAGAAAAGAGGGAGGAGAATAAACACAAAATAAAGTAATAAATGCTCAATGCCCCAGGACAGCACAAGCAATATCCCAACATCCATAAACAAACACTCAGCTGAGCGCCAGAGCAGGGAGAAGGGCAGCAACGCTACCTCATAAGGAAATAACATGTTAGGAGCCAAGCTCCGTTCAGTCAGTGGAGCACGCTTCTTCATGCTCAACCTGCTGCTGTGTGTTTGACCCGTTACACAAGGCCAACAGCTGCTGTTCAACCATGAGTCCTGCTGCAGATGTCTCTGGTTCTGGTCATTTTGATCCAATACAGCTAGTTTAAGCAGTCCTATGAGTAACGTGTTCTTCAGCTTCTGGCCATTTCAATAAAGATGTGTTTAACTCATGATCCTTAACTCGGGTTTTATGATGAAATGTATTTTTTTTAACTGTAAAAACATTTTGAATCACCTGTATTTATATTTTGTTTCCAAAGCCAGACTCTGCTGCTCTTCTTTCTTACTTTCTAAAGGCTTTTAATTCATTTTTAAACACTTTTAGTCCATGCAGTCCTTCAGCATTGTATAAGCATCGTAATTCCTACCATGACTTATTCAGGCATACAAAGAATGAACCACAGGGTTAACACAGAAATGAAAAAAAAAAAAAAAAAAAATATATATATATATATATATATATATATATATATATATATATATATATATATATATATATAACAGACAACTTAGCATCCATCCCATTGGATCTTTGGACATTTTGTTATAGCAGTCAGTCACAAAGACTTTTAGTTAGAGCTATAAAAGTTACTAAACACAGTTTGTAAACTGCAGAAAATACAGACTTTTTTCCATGTTTCTTAAAAGACACTATTTATTTGCTGTGGAAAGCTTTTTATGCTTGTTTTCTTTTGCCCTCCACTCTCCTCACACACCTGTCGTGATCAGGTACATGGACCAGTCAGAAACTGAGTGAAAATGCCAACTAGCCCGAGATCGGGGCAGGGCTAAATGTGGGCGGGATCAAACGTTTATAGGTGGGCGGAGACAGCTATTTGACTCCTGCTCCTCTCTAATGGAACCGGGAAACCGCTGTGCTGTGTGTGTGCTATGCTGTAGCTGGGACAGAGGGACGTAGCTGCCAAAATGGAGGTAAGCTGGGATTTTTCTTGGGAGTTTTTGTGATATAGCAGACCGTATTGAGATGATTGCAGTGAAGCAAAAGCTTGTTCATCAGCCATCAATTGAAATCAGCTGTGCTGAAGCAGGGAAAATTAATTACAGATTAATTACAGATCATACATAATTAATGTAAAATATGTTTTTAATCTCATGACAGCAGTAATTTTAATATTGTCTATTTTTGATCAGGAGAATTATCTGCTTGAGGACACCTTTGAGGCAGCAAGGTGGTGTACCACAGGGTCCTTCAAAGGAAACATTTCCCTTCCCCAGGTCATCACCATGGACAGGGAAGCTTGCCAGAGGGCAGTGGAGAGGTTCTGCGAAGCCGTTTACAAGAAGCGACACAGCAGACTGCACTTCTTGAGGACGTTTAGGTCCTTCAATGTCTGTAGCGAGATGCTGCAGATCTTCTATAAGTCTGTTGTTGAGAGTGTAATCTCTTCAGCCATCGTCTGTTGGGGTAGCAGCATCAGAAGCAGGGACCTGAAAAGGCTCAACAGCCTAATAAAAAAGGCTGGTTCTGTTCTGAGGACGACTGTGGAACCACTGGAGGAGATAATGCAAAGAAGGATTCTCCAGAGAATCAAGAAAATGATGGACAACCCTGAGCATTCTCTTCACAAGACTGTCCGACAACGGAAGAGTGTCTTCAGTCAGAGGCTTCTTCAGTTTGGCTGCAACACTGACCGCTACTGGAGATCCTTCCTGCCAACAGCCATTGTAATATACAACAACTCTTTGATGACTTGATTATTATTATTATTCTGAGCTACTACAGCAATCCATTTCCCTCTGGGATTAATAAAGTATTTTTGAATTGAATTGAATGCTTCTGTGATGGCCTGGATGAAGAGATGAATGATTGCAGGGAACCGTTCCTGTTCATGTTTAGTTTTTAATCAGAATATGAGGAGTTCTGCAAAGAAATTGTGGACAAAAGGAAGATGAAGGTGTTTTCTGGCTTTGAAATGCCATAGTACAGCGGTGTCAAACGGTTTTTGCATTCTGTTTCCTCCTTACATTGTTTTTTGCAGGTTCTCTTGTTTTTGTGTGCTTTTTGGATAATTTGTTTGTACTTTTTTATTCCTGTGTTGGCTGTTGTTTGCTCTATTAAATTTACCTTTTTGAAGAATTTAGTCTGCATTCTTGGGTGTCTCACACAATGTCTCACCACCCCGCCTCAAACCCTGGCGTGTTTTAAGAAGTATCAGCACTATTTAAGTCTCTGGTCCTCTTAATGTAGCTGATATAACTGAGTGTACAACAAATTTACTTGAGTCTGTCTGTACTGTTTTACACTCACTTGGGAAATGACTATTAAAATAAAGGCAGCATTGATAAAATTAACTATTAAAATGGTTTTGACCGGTTCAAAGAATAGTCTATCAAATGCTTGAACCTTTTATATAGGTACCAAAAGTATATCTAAAAGACGCAAATACCTATGTGCTGTAAATACACATACCAAATACAAATACACAAACGTAGGAAAAAGAATAGAAATATCAGAACAGGTTGGATCAAAAATGGCACCTGTTTCATTTAACTTCATTATCTGCCCTTTCTTTAAAATTATCATGACATCCAGCAAACAAGTAATTTGATTACAAATGTTATGCTTTACATGGGTTTTTAGGGCTTTTTAATCCTTAACTCGGGGGGCTACTGCGGCTTCCTGGTTCCATTGAAGAGGAGCAGGAGTCGTTGTCTCCGCCCACCTGTAAACGTTTGATCCCGCCCACATTTAGCCCCGCCCCGATCTCCAGGAGGCAGCCAGGGGCTACTCGAAAATGCAGCCAAGTCCAGAGAGGACCACTTAAAAAAAATGTGTTGTTTGTTTGTTTGTTTGTTTGTTATGCACTTGTAGCAGATGCACCTGCCTGGCATTGATAGGCTTGATGAATGTACGTTTCCAGACATTTCTCTGCAGCTTTGCATCCATATGATGATGTTAGGCAGCCATTTGTTACACTGACATGACGTTTCATTGTGTGGGGGTTCAATGGTGCTGCAGAGAAATAATAGCACAACTCAGACAGGCACACAGGCAGGACAGATAATCAGCGATCCACAGCCTCTCTGCACATGCTCTGTCTGTCTGCCTGCCCACCCTCGTTTCAAACATAATCACTTAACAGGGGCATGTTGTTTACAGCTCAGCGTGTCTGGCAATGAGATATGAAGACAGCTTGTCTATTTAAGAGTACGAGTCTCTGTGTGAGGGACACATGGAGGCAGAGGCAGAAAAATAAAAGCGTGTGAGTACATTTGCACACTCCATATGCTTCCTGCATAACTTGGTTTGTGAAATTTGACTCTATTAGATTACACTGATGAATGCACGGGATGCTGTGAGCTGTCTGAGTCCTGCTGGAGTCCTGGTCATGTTCTCTTGTTGTTTTCTGATGAAAATATCTAACTTCTTAAGCATTTAATCCAAGCTGAATATATCTTAGATCAGATTTTTTTCCCCCCTCTGGCAAAAGGTTCTGAACTCCTCATAGATGGTTAACTATCACAAAAAACTGTCAGCTGGGCATTCAAGTATGAGGCCTCAAACACCAAGTTAAATGATAAAAGCTATAAACTAGCCGCATTTAGTAGTATAACAGCAACACATGTTGGTCCTGGTGATAATAAAAATGGGTTGTGGTCTGCAGGACTGAAGGTTGCAGGTTCCAATCCAGGCTTCAGGTTCTCACATGTTCTCTGCATGTGTGGTTTTTCTCTGGTGCTTTGGTTTCCTCCCACAGACCAAAAAGCATGAATGTCAGGTGTTTGGTGACTCTAATATGTCCCTGTGTGTGTGTGTGTGTGTGTGTGTGTGTGTGTGTGTGTGTGTGTGTGTGTGTGTGTGTGTGTGTGTGTGTGTGTGTGTGTGTGTGTGTGTGTGTGTGTGTGTGTGTGTGTCTGAAGGACTGACGGCATGTCCAGGATGTCACCTGTATCTTAATTTGGATTACCTTAAAGCCATACTTTGCAACTTTTTCATATTTTTTAAATACTTTTCTTGAGCCAGTATGTGCTAAAATGACCTTTTACAGGGATGATCAACTGTCACTCTGGCCAGAGTACCACATTTGCAACTTCAGAGTGCCATTCCAATCCCTGTTGAATTTAGTAAAGTGGAGCTGACTGGTGTTGCAGTCTACTTCCAGCACATTTCCATGTTTTAGATCATTAACACCACTATGTTTAATTTAGTGATGAACCACACCTGTAGACACTGATGAAGACTGGGGAGACATTTCAGCTGTTAGATTAAGGTGTTACATAGATGATACAACTTTTTATTATTCAGGAGATAATGTCTAGCAGAAGACAGAAGTGATACAAACAGAGATGAAAAAAATTAAACTATGGTTAAATGGGAACAAACTATCATTAAACAGGGATAAATCATGTTTTATGATATTTAGTAATACATATTCAAATGATGAAATTTTATAAATATAGATGAGATTAATATTAAAAGAGTTAAAGAAGTCAAGAAAAAATGTCTTGGAAACTGCATATAAACAGTGTCAAAACTAAAATATCTAAAACTATTGCACTGTTACATAGAGCAAGATGGTTACTTGATAATAATTCCCTATATTTGTCATATAACTCACTGATCATGCCGTACCTGAACTACTGCATTGAAATCTGGGGAACAACATATAAAACACACAAATTCCATTTACATCTTACAGAAAACTGCAATAAGAATAATCACAAGGAGCAACTACAGAGATCCGTCAAACCCATTATTTATAAAATTAAAAACACTAAAATTCTATGATCTGTTGGACTACAATATTTAAAAT